GAGGGATGTGTTTGGGGACAGGGGAAGGGGCACGGTTCAGGCGCCTTCTGAGAACCGAACGTGAAACACGGCCAGGCCAGCTGGGGATGGGCAGCGTGCGGGGCTGCTCGGCCAAACGCCTTGCAGGAGTCTCCTGTGAGAAACCACCCCAACGGCAGTAGCCCCAGTGTGAGGGCTGGGGGTCCAGGAGTCCCCTCTGTGCCCGTCAGCATCTCCGAAATGGCTCAGCCAGGGACGTGCTGTGCCACTTCCCCAGGGCTCGCACTGGCCTTGCAGAGCTGTGCTGCAAGCAGAGGTGTTGCTTCTCGTCCCCCCTTCATCCTTACCTTGAAGAGGTGAACACGTGGCACTGCCTGTCTGTCGATAAAATTAATTTTCAAGTGCTGATATAAGATACATCTGTTTCATTAAACAGTATTTTAAATCAGCGCAGTGTCTTTAAAATAGCGGTTGGAAATGTTGTAGTCTGATGTCAATTTGCTTATTCAACAGAAATAATGAGTTGTGTTGCATTCTTTTCATGCTTTATATTAAGACTTAATTTTTGAGATTTTTTTTTAAAAGTCATTATCCTTATTTGGAGAGTTTTCTGTCTGGAGCCTGACACTGGGAGAGCTGGCCAGGTAGGAAGCTGCCTCCCGTCAGCTCTGGGATGCTGCTCCAGGAGAGGACAGGAGGAGGATGTTCTTGGTGCTGTTTCGAGCTCCTCCGTAGTTATCCTTCACAAAAACTGTTCTGCTGTAATGTAAGCCCTGTCCTGTAAACAAATTGGGGCTTATACCAAATATAAGTGAATTTCATGCTCATAATAAGTTGGTTTTCTTAAGACTTTGTTAATATTTGGTATGACATTTGTTCTGTAGGTGTGGCTTTTGTTGTGTTTCATGCTGCATCCTTGATTTTTATGGCATGAAAAGGTTAAGTATACATAGATTTTTTAATGGATGCACCTTTTGGAGATATATGGGGGTCAGCAGTTACTTTGAGAGTAATGAGACAAGACATTTGGCTTTTAAGATTTTAAGATTGCCGTTAAGATTGCTGTTGCTTTTTGTTCATTAATAACCCCTGTGTCAGGTTCCTGCTGGCAGCCGAGAGAGTCACCTGTGGCATTTGGGGTTGGTGCAGGCTGCAAGCAGGGTTAAAAACTGCTGAAGGGGATGTGGGGAATTTGTTTCTCCTGGGGAGGTAGAAGGGCAGAGGCAGAGGGCTGTGAATGCCTGAAGCATCTTCTGCTTTCTTGTTTGTATAACCTATTTCAAATATGTCTTACCTGTGGGTTTATGGTTAGAACTTCCTCAGGAGAAATTCTGTTCCTGAATAGGATGGCAGCAGTTGAATGTTGTGGCTCTGTACCGAAATGTTTCTGTTCATGGATAAAATACATTGTTGCTCCCAGACTGAAAAATCACAACTGTCTCAATTTTTTTCTAGATTATAGCCTTTGATGAGCTGAAGACTGATTACAAGAATCCCATAGACCAATGTAATACACTCAATCCTGTAAGTTGCATGCTAACCATTTTTTAAGTCCGTGCATGTAAAGTGATTGGTTTTGGTGTTATCTTGATATAATGGAACTAGGAAATAGAATTGCATCTGGGTGGACAAAGCCTAGCTGCTCGATAGCAGCTCTAGGGAAGATTCTTTGTCTGATCTTTACTTTCAAGTTGAATATTCTGACTGTTATTAATCTGCTGGTGATCTTGTCAGCTGTCGTACTAACATTCTTTCAATCTGCTTTCTACATTTTTCGGCACAAAGACAGTTGAAAAGGTCAAAAAGATTAAAAGAGTCAAAATTGCGTTAAAGGTGTGTACTGCTCTTCAGTTTAATGTTTTTAACGCCACTTCCTTTCATTTCGTTAGGAACATTTGTTAATACTTTGAAGCCGTTTTGTTTAGTGTGCCTGCTCATCTGCTTGTTATTCGTTTGTTGGGGTTTATAACAACTTCATGGATTCCCGTATTTTGTGCAAAACAATTTTGCTTGCTTACCCAGTGAAGCAGGGAAAACTGTTACATGCCCGTTGTGTCTGTCCTACCTACTCGCTGAAGTAACTTCAGATAGAAATAAATGGCACTTTTCCAGCGAGATTTCTTGAACCCTGAGATTATAGGAGACTAGTTGGTTTTTTTTAAGCATTCACCAAGTAAATTCTGATCTTGTTGGAGGATTTAGGTGGACATAATATGAGAGGTGTTATCTTATAGAATCACAGAATGGTTTGGATTGGAAGGGACCTTAAAGATCATTGAGTTCTAAACCCCTGCCATGGGCAGGGACACCTCCCACCAGCCCAGGTTGCCCAAAGCCTCATCCAGCCTGGCCTTGAACCCCTCCAGGGATGGGGCATCCACAGCTGCTCTGGGCAACTGATTCTTCACTTGTTTTATGGTCCAGGATCAGGGGTGTATCTTGGTGTCCTCTCTTGGATGCATCTCTGACGCTCCTTGGTTTGTGAAAAGCATTTGGGGCAAACTATTTGCTTGCATCTGTAACAGGCCAATAATAAAAGAGATCCTTGTTAAAGAGCATGTGGTGAGATACAACAGGTTTTTTGTGCCTTTCTCATGGTTTTCACTCTGGCTTGGCATGCCCAGGCTGAGGTAGAATGCAGGGGCAGCACAGCAGCACAGCCCAGACTGCAACTTCATTGTGTTTTGAAGATTTAACTAAATTACACAAACGAAAAATGAATTTACAGCAGCTGGGGGTTGAAATGCGTATTAGACGTACACCATATAGATTGACAGCAAACATTACGGCACGAGAAGGGTTGGGGAGGAGGAGGAGAAGAGGTGTTAGGCAGAGGATCGCATCTCGGGGAGCGAGGTTTGCTGTGCGGATAGCTGTGCATCTAACAGTTTCCCTTGCTTGGCCTGTTGGACAGTCATTTCTGCTACGGGGAAGGCAAATCCTCATTACATTTATGCATTATGATCTTATCGCAACCTTTGGAGTATTATAATGCGCATGTTGAACGCAAATATTAACCTTCTGTTAACCCACGTGCATGGAGTGTGTATTTATCTGATAGCTTTGTGAATTGAAAATATTCAATAATGTCATATTTGCTGTTCTTGTGAAAGTAGATTAGCTCTGAAAGTGAAGTTAGGATCCAGAGTCTCGAGGGGATCTGGCAAATGATGCTGGACAAACACACTGAGGTGGTGTTTTCCTGTACAAAGAATCAAAAATCCTGGTAGGAATTGAGACACCTCAGTAGAGAGATTAGCCCAAAATAGTAACTGCTTAGTATGGCATTGATGGCTTCTCTTCTCAGGGACGAGATTTCTTCCTCCCCTGCTTCTCCGGTACATACCATGGTAGAATATGATGTGGTTAATGTTCCTTTAGGAGAGGCAGGGAGGATAAAATGTGGTAGATTTGAAAGACAGGTATTTTGGTGTGGGAGTAGGGTGTAATAAAGAAGTTAAAGAAAAATGTGTTTTCAAATGTGTACTTAAATAAACTACAGATTTTTCGGAGCTGGTAAATCTGTCTCAGCAGGCTGCCAAAGGCATTGTGTTTGGGATAGGGTGGTGGTGGTTGTTGTTCTACTATAAATAATTGCAGGTTGTGAATGGTAGGTATACAAAGAAGGATCTGAACAAAAATATTTACTTGAAACATTTTGTCTATGACAGCTTGTTTTTGTTGATGTTGATGCAAGTTTGCTTTGTGTTCTTCATTTAGAGAAGCAGAATGTTATAGCAAAGGAGGTGGTGAGAGTGTCTGCTGCTTGGTAGGTTTTAGATTTGTAGGAAGATATTCTTGGAGTTTAAAAAAGTGTCTGCTTAGAATTAAAAAATGAGAAAACACTGAAACTTCAGTGTAGTCATCCTATGCAACATCAGTCATATCACACACAAAAAGAGGGCCAGAGTGGTTGTGTGTACATGTGCACACAGACAGTTTAAATCTTGAGGCAGAAATGGAGGATTTTTCACGAGGAGATGTTTCAGTGGTCCTGAGTTGAGAAGTCAAAAGCTTACAGATTTGCTTCTTTCCGAATTGTGGGATAAAGGAGTAAATGATATCAGTAGGGCGTGACTTGTTTTAGAAAACTTTACTCTCGTGGCGGGTGTGAGGTTTTGCTGGCTCTTTGCATGCAGTGAATCTCTGGATCTCTCCATATTATTACTGTTAATAACACTAATACTACCCAGCATTTCACGCTTTGTGTGATTTCATAGTAACCGGTGATTAGCTCTGTGGGCTTCTGCTGGAAGGCATGATGCTCTCAAGCATGCAGATTGGGTACTCGTGAAGGAAAACGAAGCTGGCTCATAGGCCCCAAACCGTCCGCGCGTAGCTGCTGTCGTTCCTTCCTGTGCTGCAGGAGCTCGTCTCTGTGCAGAACCACGTTGCTGCTGATCTGTTTGATGAAGCTTTGCCTCGGTTTGGCAATAGTTTGAATTTGGAAAATTATTAATATACAAATACTAAACCAAAGCTGTAAAATAGGGAAACAGAAAACATCTTTTTGCTTATAAACCGTTAAATGGAGCATGTTTCCTACCGGTATTTCTTGTTGCATGAGCAGAAATATCTTGATGATCTCTTCTGTTATGAAGGTCACGTATAAAGCGTGGAATCTGTTAACAGTGCTCTTAATAATAAAATAAAACCCCTATTGATCCGAGCATTTAATTTTATAGATTTTTCTCCTTAGTTCATGAATATCATGTGAAAACAGCAAGGCACATACTGCTAGTTGCTGTTTTCACTTTCTGCAGTCCTGTTCTTGTTTGTGTTGTTTTTAAATAATATTTTTTAAACAATAGCTTACCTCCAAATTACCTCCAAAATAGATTGAACACCACACATTTTGTTTTGAGTAATCACAACTTCTAACTCATCTTTTTCTTTTCCAGCTTGTACTTCCAGAGTACCTCATCCATGCATTCTTCTGTGTTATGTTTCTCTGTGCAGCAGAGTGGCTTACACTGGGTCTCAATATGCCTTTGTTGGCTTATCATATTTGGAGGTAATATTGACGAGTACGGTATCTCTGTTCTCACATTAATTGTTACTCATTCCCCCATCGCGGTGCTTCCTGTTACGTGTTCTGTGTCTTTGGCAAATTAAGATGCTTTCTGACATGACATGGAGAAAATTTGTCGTGGCTATTTAATAAGAACCATCACTTTGCTCTCTCTGTCATTTTTTTTTTATTCTCTTGCGCTATGCAAGAATCGAGTTGTGTTTGTGCGTTGAAGGTAGCTGACATGTCAAAGGGGTGCTACAGCTGCAGATTCACAGCGGGGATTGCCCGTAGCAGAGGCAATCCCGCTTTCCTCCTGCCACTCAGATGTGGGCACCACCTCTCCTCGTGCTGGGATTAGTCCTGTGCAGGGAGCTGGGCTGGTTGAAATGTAACCCAGCAAAACAGCTTTCCCTGCGTGGCTGTGTCTGTGCTAGTCCTGGCATGAGGAGGGATCAGAGGGGTGGAGGTAGAAGCATCCCTTCTGCTGGTAGCCTGCGCTGAACTACAATTTTGGGATCATTTTGTATTGACCCATGTGAGTATTCCTTCAGCCCGGCAGCCAGTGTGCGTTCATTGATGAGCAGAGCTGTAGGCTCCATTGGGTTATCCCTTGGTCTCTTCTCCAGCTTTTCCAACCCTTCCATACGGAATCTCATTTTTCATTTATTTATCAATTTGTCCCATTTCCCTTTGGTGTACCAGAGTTCAGCCCAGTTTAAGGCTGAGGTAAGCCATCACGGCACCATCTGTGGAAGCTCTTCCATCAGCACATTTGGTTTGGAGCTTCCTATCGCTCTTGCAGTTCCCATCTCCTACACGGAGCTGGTGGACTTTGCTCTAGGGGTGCGATTCCCTGTCTCGGTTCTGGTATTCCTTGGTGGGTGGGGGGCAGGAACCAATGTTTCCCATCGCCGTCGCCGCAAAACTAACTGTGTGTTGCTTCCAGGTACATGAGTAGACCTGTGATGAGCGGCCCTGGGCTGTATGATCCTACAACCATCATGAATGCAGATATTTTAGCCTATTGCCAGAAAGAAGGATGGTGCAAATTAGCATTCTACCTTCTATCGTTTTTTTACTACCTATATGGGTAAGTTTTTTTCTTTTATCTCTTATCTAATCTTCGGTCTGAATTTTTTTTTATCGGGCTCAGTGCACAAGAGAAATTTTATACATAGGAATATATAGTGCCAACTTTCCTGAAAAAGAATCTACAATAGCTGTTTACTCTGTTTTAAAACACAAGTCTTAATTTGGTTGGAATTACTAATTTGAATCTGTGTACCATGGCTGCAGACTTGAATGTTCAAAGCTTTTCTTCTTTTAAGTGTAATACAAAAATCCCCCAGTGTTTTCATTAAGCTGGAACAGCAACATTTTTAGAGTAAGTTGGTATTTTGATGTAAATGTGGTTTCAGTTGAAATCAAAAGTAGAAGACTCATTCCAAGAGTGAGTAGGGGAGGGATGCACAAACGGCAGTGCCACCGCATGGTTCCTCCTCCCAGTTTTTCCTCCAAGCCAAGAGCCGACTCGCTGCTTGGTGTCCACACCTGCCCTGAGTGGTGTGACATGGGAAGCGGCATGCGGTCCTGCTTCCTCTGGGAATGCCGTACTTCTCACAACACCGCTGGAACAGTTCAGGCTTTTAACGCACAGGCATCGCATTTTTATGGGGCTCCCTGTTAAAATATCACTTCGTCTAGTGACAACTGGTTGTCACATCAGTTCGTGTCATGCTTTATAACGCCCTCCTGATGTGTTTGTGACTTTGTGTAAAATCTTCAGCCACAATCCCTGTACCTCACGCGGATTTGTTCCTTAGAATAGAGACTGTATAGTTAAAGGCATAACACTAATCAAAGTGGTGCATCTTAATATTTCCGTTTTGTTTTCCAGCATGATTTATGTTCTGGTGAGCTCTTAAGAAGACATTCAGCAAGCTTTGTTCCAGTTCAGTGCATGCAAAAGCCACACAACATGGATTCTTTACAACGAGAACCTCGTACCAAGATTAAACACGGAATCTGATGATCGCGTTTGCGTTTGAAAACAATGACTCCCCTATTTTTAAAATATTTCCACATTTTATACTTGTGGAAAGACTGTTTTCTTACATTTTACTGGGACACTGAAATTAAAGAATTACATGTAGATTAATGTAAAGATTACCGGGGTTTGAACTTTGCACTCCGTAAGGAACAGCCATAATCTTCAAGTAGGTATTTGTTACTGACTAGCCTTAGCACACTAGGGATTTTCTTTAGGCTGGGCTTTGTAGTGGCTCTTTTGGACTTGTGTATCCCACTATAAATCAGCTGTAGCTGCCAAGGGCTTGGGAAGGACTGGAAGTGCTGAGTTTTTTACCTGTAGGCGACGTTGGTCTTAAGAGATGACTTCCTGGACACAATTGCAAAAAGAGGAGTTCTGTTTTGGTTTATTTGATTTTATTTTTTTTCTATCATCTGGTTCATTTTTCCCTGTATATGCATGGTTCAGAAAATTCTGTATTTTCACTGAACGTTAGCTTTGCTTTAATCTCAAGCGTATGTCATTGTGGTAAGAGAAGTTGAATTGTCCACGAAGGAATGAATTTAAATTATGTATTGGGTTTTTTTTAATGTCTGTGCGGTCTTATTAACAGATGGACAAACCTACAACATTTATCAAGTCCAGTGATGAAATTAACTTTTGAGTTTAAGAGTAATGTTACGGACATTTTCAAAGCAGAAAGTGAGATTGTGAAACTGTCCTGCTGTTCCTTAGTGCAATTAAAAAAAAGTAATTAAAAAAAAAAAATCTCAAATTCAGAAACACTTTTTACCTGGTGCCTTGTTTGGTTTTTAAATTGAACAGATACTCGCTGTATTCATCTGTTTGTTTTATGATGGATAATCGCATTACCTGTTAAAAATAGAGCACTGAATCAAGTTACATCTGGACAAGGGAAGCTCCGATTTCCTGCTTTTTTTCATGGGTCTGCAGATAAATAGTGGATGGATTAGGGGGAAGATGTTTCAGATGATATTGCGTTGTAAATTGTTGCTGCAACAGCTGCTTAATTTAGGAGTAATAAGTAGGAATCTTTTTCATTTACCTATGCTGGAAAATAATGAATAATTTCCCAGTTCTAGTAAAACATTTTGTATAAACTGTTTATTTGCTCACTTTGGGTCTGTCGAGTGTTAGCTGCAATAAACATCGTACGAGTGGCTGCCTAGGTTCAGCTGCAAAGATACTGGTGTGTTGGGCAGTGCCAAGCATCGAGGAGAAAGAATATGAAAGACGGCAGGTACTGAATGTCTCTTCGTGAATAGTGGGAGAAATTATTTGGAAATCTACCTGTTACAGATTCCTGAGCTAGAGGTTCAGCATCTTAAACAGCCTTGGACAACTTTTCTTCCAGTAATTCAGTTGCTTTCCGAGTGCTTTTATAACTCAGTGTGGAAGATACCCTGGGACAAGGAGTTCAGCCATGAAATTACTCAGTATGTAAAAAAGTCTTGTTTAAAAGTTCTGCTGGACTTCATTTAGTGCCTCTAAGCTCTTATTTTTTAAGACATACTGAAAATTTCCCCCTTTCCACCTTATTAATAGTGGAATGACTGAATAGACCTTCATCATGTCCTCTGTCAAAACAGATAAGTCTGTGTAATCTCTTCTCGATTGGAAGTCCTTCCGTAGCTTTGTGATTATCCTTTCTCCTCTGCAAATTTTCATTTTCTAAGCTGGAGGAGGCCAGGCCTTGTCATCACACAAGATCTGAGTGCCCAGGGGATTTAGAGCGGCAGTTTCCTGCTCTCTGCTTTTGAATTCCTCCCCTTGTTTTATAATGTACTGGGGGCCTGAGGATTGGCTGTGATAACTTCAAATTCTCTTTCCTAAGTAGTAATAGATACCTGACAGCTTATTACTAGGTATCTAGAATTGTTTTTCTCACCTGTGTTTCTTCTTTGCATTTATTGACAGTTAATTTCACATGCCATTATTGCTCAAGCATTCAGCGTTACAAGATTTATTAAAAACATTTGCAATGGTTGCAGGTGTTATCTTGTGGCCCTTGTTTTCTGTGCAGAGGCTCAGGAGCACTTCTGGAGCTCTGTGAGGAAACCCCCCTCACCAAAACCTCGTTATTCCTATTCTGCAGTCCCTCTCCATCAGTTGTTAGTCGACAAGAGGATTTTCTTCCTTATCCAATAATAATTTTGAGCTTTTTGCAGAAGACTTTTTGAAAGGCTTTTTGGAAACTTGGGAATATTTTTCCTGTTGGATCATTTTTATTTTCCTGCTGCTTAGCACCTTTGTGGACTGCTGTAAGATGACTTCAGCCTGCATAAGCAAAATTAATTAACCCTTTTGGATGTTTGTACATTTTTTAATCTGTTATGGAAATTACTTACTGGCTGATAGCCACCAGTTCTCCTTGGTCTTCTAAAATCTCTCATTCCCTTGGTACTTGGGCTGATGTAAGCCAAGTTACACACCAGAATAAACAATGCAGGATTTGCTGAGTTCAACCGAAAAAAACCTGAAACGCATCTCTTCTGGAAACCCCTTCACCAGTGGAGCAGCTTTACCCAGGAATATTTACCAAAACGTTTGCAACACTTACACTGTCCTGCTGATGGCTGGCTTTACGCATCTAACATAAAAGTGCACATGAGCGTTCCTGAACAGAGGAATTCTGAGGTGAAACCAGCACGGTGGCTTGCCACTGCAGTTCTGCTGGTGAACTTGAATTCACCACTAACCCCAGGAGCAAAAGGCTTACTTGGAGTCTGTCCTGCCTGCTGCAGTTAAGAACTGAAGAATTTAAGTAATCTCATTTCAAAGGTCTTTAAACTGTCAAAACATGTCAGAGAAAGGTCAGAAGTGCAAGTTAAAAAGTTCTGGGAGAACCCAGGGTGCTGAAGTGTGACTGCCTTGGTGCTGGCCCTGGTACGCAGCTGGTTTCTTGAAGCGCTGGGGGGGGTGGGGAACCACTGACAGAATTAACCCCAAGGAAACAAGAGATGGTGACAAGGCAGGACAGCCTGATGACACTTAACTGACAGCAACTGCACAGTGACCAGCCCAGAGGTGACAGTTCCTCAACTCCAATAGTGTTTTGTCTGACAGCAAAAGGCACAGCCTGGGTGACAGGGGCTTTCTTCCCAGAGCCAACTTTACCTCTCAGGACATGGGAGGATACCTGGGCACTACAGCGGGTGATCAGCGCTTCCTCAGAACAGGACAGAGCTAGTCTACGTGTTTTCTTCAGAAGTCTGTTCCTCTTCTCAGGATACAGTTAAACAGGAGGGATGGGGACTGCTGCAGGGATGTTGCTGTGAGATTCTCTCCAGCCCCCAGCTGATTGTTTATTTACATTCTCTGGTGTCAGCCTGCAGAAGGGCTGTGCCAACACTCACCCACACAGCGACAGCAGTGTCTCTTCCCACCACAGTCACATAAACCCACCCCCCGCTTGGTTTGTCACAGATCTTCAGTCCTGCTCATGGAAGGAGGGGTCTCATGCCTAAATCTCACTGAACACACTAAGAGCAGAACCCTGACATTCTAGCATGAGTTCTCACTAGTTGATAAGGGGCAAGCATTCTAGCAGGAAAATTTTCATGCTTGACTTTTCTTTGGTTTAAAGCTAGAGCTGTTTGTTTTTTTGTTTTTTTTTTTTGTTTTTTTTTTTTTTTGTTTAAAAAAAACAGCTCCAGTGATGTAATTTTTATCTAGCTACATTATCCCCGCGTGACTCTTTTACAAAGGTAGGAGAGGAGGAGTTATCCTTCACGTCCTCCCTTTTCCTTCCCCTTCACACCGGAGCAGAAGCCAGCCTATCGGCACTAGAAGTCTGTGAGGAGTTACAGACTATTCTGTTTCCTCACAGATCCTGCCTTCACATCCCATTGCTTGTCCCCATTCTCACACTACATAGAACAGAGATGAAGTAAAAAAAAAGTGAAATTCAGTCGCTGCTTTGACAGCCTGGCCTCCCTTCCACTCGGTAAATTCACCGAAGCAGCCTGTGGGATGTCAAGATGAAAACATAAGCGTACCAGTTCCCTGGCAGCAGAGATGTACGCTGTTGGTACCAAGTGATGTTAAAAGTGAGGTAGGCATCATGTAAGGGTCATTATTCTATTGAAAACAAGCTCAGTATGCATGCAAGCCACCAGCAGAGCAGTAATGAACACAATTACACTTCCATTTTTAAGGCCGTGTAGGATTTTCTTCCCCCATCCCAACATTTACACAATGTGAAAGCAAGCAGCTGTGTTACACAGGCAGTAGCGATGAGAAATTGTAAAGGTCAGGAGTGAAGTGTCTCATCCAGGAGTCTGCTGCAGCCACGTAGACACAAAGAGACGCCATGCCAGTATTAGTTATCGTGATACCGATCTTAATATTGTATCCTTTGTGGCCAGATGCACAGCTAGGTTCTCTCGAAAGTCATGGAGGTAATTGTATTGCTGAAAAAGCACAACCAGATTTGTAATGAGTGCTCTATCCTTTTGGAAAAGGTACTACCCATCTTAAAAAGCTGTTTGATACCCCAGGGTGAAAACTGCACCCTCTAGTCCATTCATTTGTTCTTATGCTTATGCCAAATCCTCTGAAACTTTTCATCGTCAGACACAGATTACATGGATCTTGGCTTAGATCCTGGGCTTCCTCATAAAGAGCACGTGTGAGCTCAAGGTAACGCAAAACGTGATCCTGAGTAGGTGGGAGCTTCACGTCAGAATTCAAAGCTGCTTTATCTGGGTCACCAAGAGCGTCACTCTCTCCATAGTGAGTCCGTGATGCAGGACACAGCCTTGATGATGTACGAGGGTTTATAGTAAGCGTTTAGGTCAACTCATACATCATGTGGAGTATTAATACACAAGTGTTCAAAATGGGATAAAAATGTTGGTCAGAAGAGGCTAAAGGACAGATCACCTGTCCCAAGTGGCTGTGAAAGCTCCCACTGATAACATTTGTTCATATCCTTCCGCACCTCTGCAACCAGGGCCACAGCCTGCTCCCCACCTGCCCTTTTGGTTTGTGGAAAACTGATTTTCAACAAGATTTGTCCTCCAGGGAGGCTCAGAGCTAACAAAGAGATGGTCTTTAGGCAACTCTTTCTCCTCAGAAACTATTATCTTGTAAACTTGTTAAACGTCAGCTCCACTTTCCTGTACACAACAGTTTTAAGAGTGTAACATCTAGGATTCATGTCACTAGAAGACACAGTGGCTAAAAATCCCACCAAAACGAGAAAACCCCATTATGTTCAGCAACTTAGGCCTCTCCGTGTAGGCTTGAACACTAGTGCTAGGGATAGTTCTTAAAGAAGCCTGCCAGTATATTGGCATGGTAGCTACAGAGGATGAACATTGTTTGCTGCGTTAGGAAGACGCAACAAAACCAAGGCAGAAAAATCAAGCAGATGTCCTAGTTGTGAGGAGAACGCAAGCAACAGAAAAAGGGACAATAGCTTAGTGAGTGATGAGCAGGGATAAGGAGAAAAAAGCAACAAGTTCTGGTGAAGAGCACGCAGGGTTGAGTTCAGTAGAGGTAGAACAAGGCAGAATGAGCATGAAAGCAGAAAGCTAGAAGCAGCTCAAACCCAAGAGAGCAGCGGAGACAGCAGCTGTGGAGCTTCTTAGAAAGACAGAAGGATTCTTTTGTGAAGGAGAAGGCTGTCCGAGCTCTCCACTCATGTTTTGAAATGTGTGTTACCTGCTGTAGCCCCATTACCTTGATGGTCTGTATCGCCCCAGATCCTCTCAAGTTCCTGAGACTGTCTATCGCTTGTTGAGGTGCCAGCGCATCCGAAAGCTGAAGCAGGAGACATGCAGCTACTGTAAAGGAAAGGATATACACACATATGCTACTGAGCACCTCTTGCTGTACGCAGTGCCACTCTTGCACAGGAACAGGTTTGTTCTGTGAAAACCACTCTGGCAAAACTCAGCCTTGTCGTATCAGGTCACAGATCTGTTGGATCTTTTGCTGAGCAGTGTTTGTTGGCACTGGCCCACTTGCCTGCTGCTCCTGCCCAAATCTGCAGGATTGGAAACAGGGGAAAACCTTCCCAATGTTTTCCTCCTGCCTTTCCAGCAGGAACTGGGAGGCAAATTCTAGGCTTTTCAAGAATGAGTCCCAGTACACCCAGTTAATTCCTCTTTGTGTCTTCTGACTGCATTTGCTTTTTTGGCAATATCACCACCCCTTCCTTCTGTGGCACAGGCAATAACTAATGCCTCTGAAAGCTTTAGGGGGAACATTGGGCCGAGGAAAGATACAGAGGAAAAGGTTCATGTCCTCCTTCTCTTGAAGAGACGTTCAGGGAAGCACAATCCCATGAATCAGAGGAGACTAAAATTTGCAGTGAAAATGGAGAAAGAGACAGAAACAGTAGGAGAGAACTGAAAGACTGACTCTGCCTGACCCTCCCTCCTCTCCCCTACGTACTCAGAGCTATAGAATGACATACTTACATCACCCATCACAAACAGCTTCTATACAGGCAGCTGATGTTATTTCCATTTGACAACACCTTTCCCAAGAAATGGGCCCAAATATACTAACTAGCCTGCTACCTGCAGTGGCAGTTGGCATTGTAACCACGGTTAAGCTTCAAACAGAATTTGGCTCTGTTGGACAGTGCTCTCACAAGAAAGGGTTTGTAGGATGGGTTAGTTAGAGAATAGGAGGGAGAAGACAACTGCTTACTGAGACACGAGCGTCCAAGGCCACTGTAACAGCTGAAAGAGAAGAAAACATCTGGTTGTAACAAACTGTAGTATGATGCAACACCCAGAGGCCCCTCAATCCGTAAATAGACACAATTCTTGCCTTAATATAATCAAGAGGAGCAGAGGTACAAGAAAGTCAGAATAAGAATTTCTATAGAAATACCTACAAGGCTCTCTCCCATTTATTCTTCAGGCCCTCCTTAAGTATCATCTTTCTAGAGAAACCACAATTTTGAAGTCCCCCTTCGTTGATCGTAACAGTCCCAAAGGCACAGGAGGACAGAAAAGGGTGTGAAGATGGACAATCTCAATTTTCTTTAAATCCTACTCCAGATTAAGGCTTTGACAATAGTTGTGAGCTAACAAGAGCAGCAGGGTTCTGCATCAGCAGGGAGCCCAAGGACTCAGCAGATGTCTGTGTGGGGAGCTGTCAACAGGATCACTCAGGGAACACGGAGCTTGGAAAGCTCTTCCCCCTCAGCTACATATGTCTAAATAAATCACTTTTAACCAGTATCATGCAATTTAAGAGTGAATTTTGCAGTGCTGGAACCCACTGAGTCCCTGATAAACAGCCTGGGGGTGTGTTAGCCTCTGACAACAGCTGCTTTAGCTTAGAACTCACAATGTACACCTGATAACCAGCGAGGCTAGCAGCAAGGAGTCATACGGTGCCGTTCAACACACACTTTGAAGCGCTCGCTGGACAGAGCAAGTGGAAACGGGAGATTCAAATCTTACAAAGGACAAGTTAGCTCCAAAAGGGTGCATGAGGAGAAACAAACAGCTTTTCACAGCTTGAACTAACCTTAAGAATGCAATTGTCATTTGACAGGGTTCATTTTCAGCTGGTCACACATCTGGGGAGAAGTTTGGCATCTTTTACAGGAATGTGGGGTGAAAGGGAGGCAATCAGAACCTACTGTATGATTGTTCTCCGGTTACTTTCCAGGCAGCTTCTGAGCTCTTCCAGAATTCTGCAGCAATTGGCGATGTCAGGAGTACCCCCAACAGGAATAGGATAGTGGTACACACAGATCCCGTGCTGCTGGTAGGTGTCTATAAGGTTTGGTACTCGGTATTTGAAGAGCTCTCTTCTTGTACAAAGCACAAATATATCCTGGGTCCCATAGTTCTTTAGTTCTTCTGCCAACAGATTAAGACAGTTGCAGATAAACAAAAGCCTACCAAGCTTAAGGATAAACAGATAAGCTACTTGGTACTGATTCTTTTGTTTAATCTTTGAGTTTAAGACAACAGGAGTTAGCAATTTTGCTTTCAGCAGCATTAACTTCTACTGAGTCCCACATTTCACAGAATCACAGAATCACAGAATGTTAGAGATTGGAAGGGACCTCAAAAGATCATCTAGTCCAATCCCCCTGCCGGAGCAGGACACCTAGATCAGATCACACAAGAACGCATCCAGGCGGGCTTTGAATGTCTCCAGAGAAGGAGACTCCACACCCTCTCTGGGCAGCCTGTTCCAGTGCTCTGTCACCCTCACTGTAAAGAAGTTTTTCCTCATACTCAAGCGGAACCTCCTATGTTCCAGCTTGAACCCATTGCCCCTTGTCCTATCACTAGATGTCACAGAGAAGAGCCTGGCTCCATCCTCCTGACACTCACCCTTCACGTATTTATAAACATTAATTAGGTCACCCCTCAGTCTCCTCTTTTTCAGGCTAAAGAGACCCAGCTCCCTCAGCCTTTCCTCATAAGGGAGATGCTCCATTCCCTTCATCATCTTTGTGGCTCTGCGCTGGACTCTCTCCAGCAGTTCCCTGTCCCTCTTGAACTTTTTTTTTGAACATTTGCCTTCAGGTAACCCATGAGACAAAGTTGCTCAGTTCAGAGTCTTGAGATAAGCCTCACTAGAAAGCATGTCAGCACTCAGAACAGCCTGATAACTACTGCCAGCTTCAGCATGATTCTGTCCCATGTCTGGCTGTGGCTGTGTCCAAACACTGTGGGTTTTTGCCATTAGTCTCTGCTCTACTAGTGTTTACAGATGGATAAGGGCATAAATCTTTACATGATTTCATTGTTTCTATCCCAATCTCACTTTAGGAATAGGAGACTGCAAGTTTGTAATTCATCTTGGTCCTAGCTGTTTTGAAGGTGCCTTCTCCTGCACGTGACTTAGCAGAGCTCGTGGTCACTGTGAAAGATACACAGACGCCTGCATAGCTCCAGCCCAGAAATATCCTGACTACTTATTCAATATTTGGTAGAGAAGCCACAGAGAAAGTGGCACTGCACGCTTGAAAGTGATATCTAGTACTCGTAACAGTGACTGTGCATCTTCAAGCAGTGTTACTAAAACTCAGACACTGCTGTCAGACATGCCCTCATCAAGACTTTGTAAAGAACTGCTCTGCATTCTAACATCATGGCATGTCAGACAGACAACTACAGCATCCATTATAGAATCATGATTAAAACACCACCACATCTCAAAGTCAAGCCAGGTTTTAGATAACTGGTGTCTCGCTCCTTATACCCAGACTAAATAAACAGCAACTCCAGCAGCCTCCAGACTAAGATAAACCTCTAGCCCCTTGGTATCTTACATTTTCACTTTACTTGTGTGGCATTCTTGCCCCTTACATGGAAGTGAGAAACGCTTACACACTGGCTAGAAGACTCACCTATATCTTTCTGAAGATTTCTTCTAACATCCTTAAACCTGCAACCTAAAATGAATTATAAATGACAATTACCACTCCAGGTGAGTGACATTTATGGAATGGCTGCTACAGCTGAAGAATAGAGCACAGACAACCTCCCACCAAAACCAAAGCAAACAGCAAAGCCGCACCCCAAATAAAACACAGTTCTTATTTTTTAAATAGATCACAAGCGCAGAAGACAGTTTAAACACCATTATCTGCTTAATACTGTCATGTAATAGGATTAAAAAAACCTGCCCAAGTTTTTAAGCTGCTCTGCTTTTTCCAGATGAAAAGTTTTGGATATCATAAGTCAGGGTACATATTAAAAAAAACCCCACAAAAAACTCACAAAAAACGTGACAAAACACAAAACAAAAAACTCCAACCAATAAAAGGGCTGGATAGAGATCACTTAAGAGTTGTCTGGTGGATTGGTAGGAATGCAAGTTCCTTATTCTTTAATATTCAGCACAAATCATGTTAAAAATCCTCCTTACTGTTCAATCCTCAGTGTATCACCACTTCTGTTTTTGCCTCAGATCATGCCACCAAGGCATTTTTGCAGTCCCTACAGAGTATTGTGACAGTCACAGCTATTACTTGGTTTGTGAGACATAATTGCTCAAAATATTTGGACTGGTCCCCCGTCTCCCCTCCTTCACTTACAGCCCCATTGGCACACAATCTCTATGCCAGCCCTGACAACAGTCAGGATTGTTCATATCTCGAAACACCTTTTGAAAGCACAACAGCAGAATCCTGCAGACCAAGAACTGTATCGGCAGGGCTACGACTGGAGGCTAGCATCTGAAGACTAAACAGCTGTTACACGAACAGCTCAGGTAGCTAAAAAATATAATGCAGCTGTTTTTTGGCATATATGTTAACTGGCATTGAGATGTTAGTGGGATTTTCATCAGCACTGGCTATCACCCACTTCAAGATACCTTAAGTTCAAATATTATTCAACACTTGCTTTCCAGTTCTTTACTGTGGTTTTAGTCACAAGCTCATATTTCTCAGAGCTGGCTAATGAAAGTTGAGTAACTGCTTTAAATGAAGTCAGGAAAATTCACATCGTCACCACCAGGAGTTCTGTCTCTTTTGTGACTAACAGAGATTCACCGTCACTGCAGTTTCGGTAGTTAAAAATACAGTGAAAGCTTATATGTTTATTTTTATATCATGGCCATGGTAGTGCAACCCAGATGCTAACGGAGAGCCGTACAGAGCTGTCAGCACAGAGAGCGAGTGTAACTTGAGCCCAATATATCTTATAAAGGAATTATTTGTCAAAGTAGTCACTGTTGTTGCTTGTTATAAATACGAAGCTAGGCTAAAAAGTCAAATATTTTAACTGACAATGGATGATGGTCACTGTTCTCTTACCATGTAATCTTGCATTAAGATATTATCTAGATTCGTTTTGGTGTTCCGGAAATAATTATTCCAGTGATAGATTATACAACAAGTCACCCCACCAAGTAAATGGAACACAGAACTTTGGTGTACAAGATATTACATCTCTTCAGCATCAAACATGCTTGCAAATTTCAGTGAATGCTTCTTACCTGGAAGGGAACACAGTCCCAGGAATATAGAAGAGTAGACAGGAGACAAAGACAGCCTTTTGGGAAATAAAAAATAAATAAATAAACCCCAAACTTTTTGATTATTAGACTAGAGAGAACACATTCACTATCAGACATTAATTTGCTGTTGCACTGTGAGAAGACTTACCTACCTACAATTCAATGTTAAGAATCACAGACTGGTTTGGGTTGGAA